GGGGCTCATCCCCCGGGGAGGGGAGGGGTCTCCAGGCCATCCCCCACCCCCCCACCCCCCTGACACCTCCCCCACCCCCCTCCCACAGGCCACCCATCCACCCATGGCCCCCCCTCCCCGTCCCCTCCCCGTCCCTCCGGTAGCCCGGGCAGCGCGGGGGGGGCCGCCCCGGCTGCCGCTGGCCACCGTGGCCGCCACCATCGCCCTGCTGAGCGCCGCCACCGGGGCCTGCCCGGCCGTGTGCCGCTGCTCCGGCGGCCGCGTCTACTGCAACGACCGCGGGCTGACGGCCGTGCCCGAGGGGCTCCCGCCCGGGGCCACCACGCTGTTCCTGCAGAACAACCGCATCGGCGACGCCGGCATCCCGGCGCGGCTGGGCCGGCTGCCGGCGCTGCGGGTGCTGTACCTGTACGCCAACGCGCTGGAGCAGCTGCCGGCTCACCTGCCGCCGGCGCTGCGGGAGCTGCACCTGCAGGAGAACAACGTGCGCGGGCTGTGCCGCCGGGCGCTGGCGCGGGCGCCGCTGCTCGAGCGCCTGCACCTGGACGACAACTCGGTGTCGGCGGCCGGCATCGAGGAGGACGCGTTCGCCGAGAACCGCCGGCTGCGCCTGCTCTTCCTCTCGCGCAACCACCTGAGCAGCGTCCCCGCGGGGCTGCCGCCGGCGCTGGAGGAGCTGCGGCTGGACGACAACCGCATCCACACCATCCCGCTGCGCGCCTTCGAGGGGCTGCCGGCGCTGCGGCGCCTGGTGCTGGACGGGAACCTGCTGGCCAACCAGCGCATGGCCGACGACACTTTCAGCCGCCTGGGCAACCTCAGCGAGCTCTCGCTGGGCCGCAACGCGCTGGCGGCGCCGCCGGCCAACCTGCCCCGGGCTCGGCTGCGCCGCCTCTCGCTGGCCGCCAACGCCATCAGCCACGTGCCGGCCGGAGCCCTGGCCAGGATGAGGGCGCTGGAGCGGCTGGACCTGTCGGACAACAACCTGACCACGCTGCCGCGGGGGCTCTTCGACGACCTGGGCAGCCTGAGCCACCTGGGGCTGCGCAACAACCCCTGGTTCTGCGGCTGCAACCTGGCCTGGCTGCGGGACTGGCTGCGCCGCCGCGCCCCGCCGCGCCTGGAGGTGCGGGGGCTGCTGTGCCAGGCGCCGGCGCGGCTGCGGGGGCTGCCGGTGGGCGAGCTGCGGGGCGAGATGGACGCGTGCGAGAGCCCGGCCGCGGGGCCGGCGGGAGGCCCGGGCGGGGGGACGTCCCCCGGGGCCGCCGCCGCCGCCGCCGCCGCGTCCCCCGCCGCCTCGCCGGGAGCCGCGGCGGCCGCGCCGGGGCTGTGGGTGCAGGCGGCGCCCGGCGGGGCGCTGCGGGTGCGGTGGCCCCCGGCCCCTCCCGGGGCGTCGCTGCGGTTGAGCTGGCTGCGGCCCGGGGGGGGAGCCGTGACCGAGACCTTGGTGCGGGGGGAGCGCGGCGAGTACGTGGTGCGGGCGCTGCAGCCCCGAGCCCCGTACCGCGTCTGCCTGGCCGCCCTGGAGCCCCCCGCCGCCCCTCCGCTCTGCGCCCAGGCCCGGGCGGGCGCCGGGGACCCCCCCCAGCCCGGTTCTCCCGGAGCCCCCTCCGGGGACGCCCCCCCGGCGCTGCCGCCGGCCGCGGCTCTGGGGGCGGCGGCGGCGGCGGCGGCCGGGGTGGTGCTGGGGGTGCTGGGGGGGTGCTGGAGGAGGAGGAGGAGGAGGAGGAGGATGGGGATGGGGGCGCCGCCGCTGCCGCCCCCCAAAAGCGGCGGCGGGGGGCGGCTGGCGCTGCGGCCGCTGCGGCCCCCGGAGGAGGGGGGGATCCGCGGGGGGGGCCCCCCGCCGCCGGGGGGGGCGCCGCTGCCCCACCCCGGTGTCCGGGGGTACCGGGGGGGGCAGGTGCCCCGTGGGGGGGGAGGAGGGGGGTCC